GGACATCAACGATATTCTCTTTATTCTCAACCTTTGAGCAGTGCTTGCATTCTACTTTGCATGGCCGACGAGACAGGGCATCAGCATTACCGTGTTTTCCGCCTTTTCTGTGCTCGATTCTGAAGTCATAACTCTGGAGCCTCTCGATCCAACGGGCTAATTGACCTTCCGGATTCTTAAACTGCAGCAACCATTGGAGAGCAGCGTGGTCGGTCCTCAGCAGGAAATGCTGGCCATATAGGTATTTGTGGAAGTGTTTAACGCACTCAAGGACAGCAAGCAGCTCTCTCCTCGTCACACAGTAATTCCTCTCAGGTTTCGACAATGTCCGGCTGTAGTACCCGATGACTTTTTCCTGTCCGTCGATTTCCTGGGAAAGGACGCCACCGATGCCGCACGCACTTGCGTCTGTGTCCAGGACAAACTTGCCGCCAGGTATAGGGTATGCCAAAATGGGGGCTCTGCATAGCATGTCTTTGAGCTTTCTGAATGCCTCCTCCTGGTCGTTGCCCCACTGAAACCTCTGGCCTTTTTGCGTCAAACGGTGTAGACAGGCGGCGATGTTGGCAAAATTTTGGACAAATCGACGGTAGTATGTGCAGAGACCCAGAAAGCTTCGCAGCTCATGGAGATTTCGGGGCTGCGGCCAATCTCTGACGGCTTGAATTTTCTCCTTATCCGTCGATATGCCCTCCGGCGTCACGTGGTGCCCCAGGAACTTCACCTCTCGTTGGAAGAGACTGCACTTCTTTGGGTTCAGCTTGAGGCCTGAAGACGAAAGCTGCTGTAGAACATCCTTTAAGTTCTTGATGTGTTCGTCGAAGTTGCGTCCCATGACTATGATGTCATCCAGGTATATGAGGCACGACTTCCACTGCAGCCCTTTTAACACACGCTCCATCAGCCTTTCAAATGTAGCCGGGGCGTTGCAGAATCCGAATGCTGTTTTCTCCTTATCTTTCTCGGCGATCTCTACTTGCCAGTACCCACTCTGCAGGTCGAGGGTGGAGAACCATGACGTCACGGCTAATGTGTCCAATGTGTCGTCGATTCTTGGGAGCGGATAGCTGTCTTTCTTGGTGACATCATTCAACTTTCTGTAGTCCACACAAAATCGGGTGCTTCCGTCTTTCTTCTTGACCAAGACCACTGGGGAGCACCATGGACTTGATGATGGTTCTATTACACCACTCTTTTCCATTTCACTTATCAGCTTCTGAACCTCGTCACTTTTTGCCAGGGGAACACTTCTTGGAGGCTGTTTAATGGGTCTCGCGTCTGCTGTATTGATTTCATGCTTCACCACTGATGTTCTTCCTTGGTGCTCTTTTGTCAACGCAAAGGTAGAGGCATATTTCCATAATAGCTGCTTAGCCTTGTTCCTCTCGGAAGGTGATAATTGGTGTGTCCACTCTTTTATGTAGCCGTCGAGGTGCTTCTTCTCCATGGCAGCTGGCTTTTCGGTGCTAGTTTCCAAATTAACTACAGCTTCAGCTGGTGTGCATTGTCCAACATCGGAAAATTGGCAAATTTGCTCTTGCTTGTTTGACAGGTTCAAAACTCTAACAGGAATTAATCCGTCCTTGTTGCTTTTCACCAGGGCATTCGCTATTAGGATGTTACTGTTTCTGTTTTCTGCTGGTTCCACCACCCACAACTTCTCGGCTCCACAATCTCCATTCATTGGTACCCATATTATTGCTTCGGCACAGGGCGGTATTATCTCTGGATGGTCCGTGGTCAGACGTCTAATGGGTGTACTTTCATCGTAGCCCACGTTTAACGGAATTTCGACGTTAGACCAGGTCATCACACGTTCTTTCATATCCAGATTGATACCAAAGGCAATCATAAAATCTGCGCCTATTATCACTTCGTCTACGATATCGGCAACTATAAACTCGTAATTCTCCGATTTATTGGCAATAGTTAGTCTCAGGGTAATCTTGCCGTGTACTGCCGCGGGCTCCCCCGTTGCTGTGCGCAGTCTGACTCCATTAAGTTGCGTTATTTTTCCCTTTACCAGATCTGATCTTACGATGGACTTTGATGCGCCAGTATCTAACGTCAGAACTCGCTTATCACCATTGATGTACCCAGTTGTTGTTAGGTTGTGACTTTCCTGTTGTACTATTGCTATGGAGATTGTGGGGCCATCGTCGATGGGAGCCAGTTCATGCCCCGCTGGACTGGCTCGATTTAGTTTAACTGTGACTCATTGGTGGACTGTTGGGCCATTCTTCTACCATCTTTCGTTGGAGGTGGTGACGATGACCTGGATCGTTTGCGCTTAGCTCTGCATTCGCGCACAATATGACCTGCTTTATCGCAGTTGTAGCATCTAACCCTGGGCTTAGTCATCCCAACTAACTTTGTCTCTTCTATTACCCGCCTCATGGCGTCTTCGATCGAGTTAACGAGAGATTTGGGTTCGCAACCTTCGGTCTCCAGTTGGCGAATCTTGTGGGTCTGGGGCTTAACAACTATTCTTGCCGTCTCTTGGGCAAGGGCAAATGACACCGTTTCGGAAAATGATGCTTTTGGTGACGCATATGTTGCATACTTAATCTCAGGGTCACGTATGCCATTCACAAAGGTTTCGATTTTCATACGGTCCAGCAATGGGTGATCCTCTCCTGGATACGTCATTAGCACCAAACGTTCCACATCAGCTGCAAAGTCTAGTAACGTCTCGTTTGCCCTCTGTACTCTTCCCCTTAATTCCATAAGGTAGATGTTTCGTTTATGTTCGCCACCGTACTTACGTTCCAGTGCAGCAATAACATCTTCATAGTTGTTTCTAGAAGCGACAGGAATACTCTGTATAACATCAGCAGCACTGCCCTTCAATGCCAGAAGTAGTGCAACCGCTTTGTCGCTGTCGTTCCACGAATTTCTAGAAGCCACTGTCTCGAACTGTAACTTGAAAACATTGAATGGCGTAGAGCCGTCGAATACAGGAGGTTTGATTTTTAGTGTGTTATCAGGAACTCGCACCGGACCACCTTTGATTTCCAGTTCCGAAATTTTCTTCTCCAGATTTGTAACCCTATGGTCGTGGGACAGAAATTTCTCGTCAACCGACTGCACTTTCTTATCCAACTCTTTAATTTGGACCTCCACGGTTTCCATTCTCCTTCCAATAACTTCTGTAATGTACTCGAGTTTCTCGTTCGTTATTCTCGAATTTTCTTCGAACCTTCTGAAATTTTCCTCAAACATTTTGGCTAGCATTTCTCTGAAATCGTCACCCCTGGCAGCTACTGACGAGACTTCCCCACCGTTGGATTCGCCCATTTCCGATAAATCCACTTCATCCTTACTGTCAAACTCATATGTATCGATGTTCATACCACGGCGCTCGAACTCATCCAACAGACGTTTTTGTAGTTCAGCCTTGTTGCCAGTAGAGGACAATTCCAATTTATTAAGTTCCTTCTTCAAGTCTTCCACTCGTAGATCCTTAAACTTCATCGTAGTATTATCGTAATCTCACTTCCGACACCAATTGTTACGTTCTTGGATTTTACTTAATCCCGTGCAGACGTTGTTTTATTTCCCAATACAGCTCGTACCAAATAAACGCGGGTTCTTTCGGATTACGATTATTACAATGATTTTATTCACACAACTTTACTTTGCACTTTACTTTACTCGACGGTTTCAATTCGCGATCTGATTCACAACTGACTAACTGCCTTTCCATTTCCCCTATTTATATGGGCCTCGCCTGTCGCTACAGAAGTTTCTAGACGATCTGGTAACGCCTAGATTACGAACAATCTACCAATGCAACGGACACATACAAACTTACATTGAGTGAACAATAACAACAACACATACACAGGCGAGGGGGTAACAAAGAAAGAGGAATTAAGCGATCATCAATGATGACGTTTAACAAGAATTGTACGTCAGCAACAAAATAGAAAATGAAAGAGGAAATGGAAGGATGTAGAAAAATCTATACAGAAAATCTATAGTTGTTGTTGTGAAGTTATTCAAATAAACTGCGTAGTAGAAATTTACGTTACAATTCAAATTCTTAAATTAACGGAATTCATCTAAATTAACTTAAATCTAAAGTTATATTCGTAACATTATTTATTCAAAATCAATGCAACATGCTTTTTTATTGTTTTGATATTGATTCTGACATTACAAGCCAAACAAGTAGACCTCTATACTTGCAATTTTTTCAAAGTTGACCTACCTTCTCTTCGTTGTACCATGGTACAATGAATACAAGGTAGGTCAACTTTGAAAAAATTGCAAGTATTGAGGTCTACCTGTTTGGCTTGTAATGTCAGAATTACAAACAAGTTGTTTGCTTTTTTATTGTTTTGATATTAATTCTGACATTACAAGCCAAACAAGTAGACCTCTATACTTGCAATTTTTTCAAAGTTGACCTACCTTCTCTTCATTGTACCATGGTACAATGAATACAAGGTAGGTCAACTTTGAAAAAATTGCAAGTATTGAGGTCTACCTGTTTGGCTTGTAATGTCAGAATTACTATAAAAACAATAAAAAAGCAAACAACTTGTTGCATTGATTTTGAATAAATAATTTAAAACCGCGAAAACTGAATGAAAGGTCAAAATTTATTTTCAAAATCATGTTCTATATATCTCTTATGGTTTATTTCGCGACAAAAACTGTAGATTTTGTCGATGCATACGTCGCAATAAGCATTTTGAAAATACCCGAATTTGAATATTTTCTGAAAATTTTTTTGTTATTGAAAAGAATACACACACATAAACAAATGAAGTTGACATATTAAGCCAGAAAAATAAAAAAATTAAAATCATATGGTAGTTTTGCCCTACCTTAAATTCATTGTACCATGCATTGTTCCATGTATATACATACACAAAATTGGCAGAAGTCGCCCACACTTAGAAAAAATTGGAATACCTTTTTATTGTACAATGGGTACTAGATAAATGAAAAATGTGGATGCCGTCCCAGTAGCTCATTTTAGGGAATCGTCACGTTGAACTCATGAGAAAACAAATCTCCAGCTGACCTGACAAGCAAAAATGTTTCCCATTTCATTAAAAACGTTAAGTGATCGTGAACGACACGATTACATCTTGCAAACTTTTGTTTTGAATAATAGAAGTTCGTGCAATCATAGAAATCATAAACGAGACATTGATGTCATAAGAGAACATCACAGGTTTTTATGGGATGATGAATCTAAAGAGGATTCGTGGGAAACAAGACTCGCTAGAAGATATTACGACAAGTTATTCAAAGAATATTGCATAGCAGATCTCACGAGATACAGGGAAAATAAGATTGCTTTACGATGGCGTACAGAATCAGAAGTCGTAGCTGGCATTGGCCAATTCCAATGTGGAAGTAGAAAATGTTTGAGAAGGGATGGTCTTCGGAGCTGGGAGGTTAATTTTGCATATAGAGAGCAAGGTGTCCATAAAAATGCTTTAATAAAACTTAGACTTTGCCCGGAACATTCGATGCACTTGAACTATACATCGAAAAAACGAGAAGTGAAACGATTGAAAAATACGGAACGTCAAGCAGCAAAAGAGGAGAAGCGTGCCACTAAAAAATCACTCAGTGAGGAAAAAACCATTGATAATGAGGAGCACTACGACAGTTCTAACGTGACTCATGGATATATTGAAAACTGTATCGGAAAAGATTGCCTCGAAAATAACGCGGCAGTTGTAGAGAAAGATGTCTTGGAATCAGCAGATATATGGAACAGAAACGCAGATAATGAAGTCGAACCAGTCTCCAGAGAAAATGAATTTGAACGCTATCTTGAAGATTTGTTGTTATAAAAGCAAGAAGTAAAGTTCAGAATTTTGTAGGCAATGTAGTTATTTACAAATATGTTGGAATTTAATGTACAAAAAATCATTATTATAATTCCATTCGTCATGTTTGTTTCTTTTTTTTGTGGTGATATATCAATAATTATTTTTCTATATGAAAATTCAGAAAATTCTTTACTACACTAATGCTGTAAATTAATAAAAATAAAGGTGCAAGTTGAGTCCAGGGGCTATGATCCTGAAGGTGAGTATTTTTAACTTTTTTTAACCTGAATGTAATTTGAGGGGAAAATACCCGAATGTTCGGATACAACATTCGGTTTTTATACGATTCTACAAAATGGGTATCTTTTGAAAGCTTATGGAAATACCTGTCTAACAAGTTCCGGAGTAATGAGTATTGGTATTTTTATACCAGTACTTTTTCGGCCGTGGCTTGATTTTTATTACTCAGAGATATGTCCAACACCGGCAACGCGATCCATAGTTTTTCTAAACATTGTAACTTCTGGAAGTAGCCGGAACTCGATTTTTTATCGTTCCCCTGCAGGGAAATAAATTGGTTTAAATCTAACTTAAAATTAGTTTAAAAAACCACAACAACTTATATTTTGATTTATTTACTTTACGCCAACTAACTACTTAACTATTAACATTGATATTCAAATTCTTTTTTTTTTCTATTTGAAGGAAGAATGCTATTTACAGATACCCTGATTGCACTGTTTTTTTTAAGCTTATGTATTTTGGCTAGCAGCACTATCTTGTATTAGGTGTGTCTGATTACCCTAAAATTTGTAACAATTGTTACTGGAAGTCATCTGTTAACCCGAAAGTTCTGCAAAAGAGAGCTGTTGGAGAGAGAAATTTTGACAGTTCTTTCAGTGAGAGTTTGCAAATTCTTGCTGGAAAAATTTCTTCTTGCAATCTCTTGCAACTCTTCTTCTTCTCATTCATCGACATTTAATCAGATGTTTTCTATTGTTTATTTATTTCTTTTTGTGATTTTAATTTGAAAATATTGTTTTAGAATTAGCAAGACTAATTGTTTTTGGAGAACAACTTTACAAAATGTGAAAAACGTAAATGTTAATATGTAATGTAAAAAACTTGTAAAATTAGTATTGGTTCCTTTGTTTTAATTCTCCTTATGGGGGACAAATTGGTTTGTTTTGACAAATCAGCTGATTAGTTGCAAGCTTCTGCAGGAATACCGTCTGTTTACTTTTCGCAATTTCCTTGCAAAAGAGAATAAAACTACCTTACTCTCTCAGAAAGATGTTGCTGGCGGGAAAAATAACCAGACACACCTATTGTACGTTGCATTTATATCAAAGTATTTTTGGACATGTATTATGCGAATTATTGCAAAGTAGTTCGATATAACCAGTCATCTTTGTTTTTTATGCCTGTTTTTTCGTTCAAATTGGTTGACTTCTAAATGAATTTACAACCAACTTATAGTTTATGAAAAGTTACTTCATAAATGCATTATTCTACAACTAACTACAAATTGGTTAAAAAGTCATCTGAATATCAACCAGTTGTGGTTTCTTAACTGGTTGATCTTCAGATGACATTTGTACCAATTTGTAGTTAGTTGTGGAATAATGCATTTATAAAAGCGATTTCCTCAAACGGTTGAGAAAAGTCCCGTCAAAAAAAAAATAATAATTATAAATAAATAAATAAAAAATTTGTTAACATATTTTTTAACTGACTAAAAATCGACTAAGTGGTTTACAGTTAGTTTAAAAGTAACTAGTTTATATTTAGCTTCACAGTAATGCAGGAATGGACAATTGTCCACTGCCTAGCTCATCCCAATTTATTTCCCCGAAGGGAAGGTACAGATCTCCAAAATCGCTGCTCATTGGCTGCGTCTACTGTACCGCAAAGGGAAATGCAAAGCAAATGCTCATTAGCTGCGTCTACTGTACCGCAAAGAGAAATGTAGATCAAATGTCAGATGATCAAGCAGCTTAGTTATGTATAACAGACTTTCAGTCTAATATTTACAGCAACTACTCATATGCGAGTTCTACTAGTTCCGCTCGGGGAGATGTAGATAAGATGCCGTAGAATGAGTTTGGAGAATTAAAAACAAAACATTTAACGAATACTCATTGAATAAAAATAAAATTGCATATGTAGAATAGAGATCTTTATTGTATTCAACGGATTACTTAATTAAATAGTATTAAATAAACTGATATAAATAACAAAAAATAACATCATCTCGCAAACGATAATTTTAAAGGTTGGAAATTACGAGTTCTACGAAATGGAACATTATGGTTTATTTCACCTATAAGAAATGAAGAATCAATGAGATCGCGTAATAATTTAATGATAAACAGTGCTCTTAACATAAAAAGTCTTCTTTGAAGTAATGGAAGGTCAATTAACAATAACCTACTCCCATAAAGTGGAAGAGGTTCGGAAACGTTCCAGTTTAAACAATGTAAAGCGAAAATAAAATCTGATTTTATTTTATTAGAGTAAAATATATAAAATGGGCTCCACAGTATACAGCCATATTCCAATACTGGACGCACCAAGCTAACAAATAATCATTTAGTTACATAAAGATCATCAAACTCTTTAGACCAGCGCTTGATGATACCTAGTAACGATTTTGCTTAATTTACGCAAGACTAAATATGCAAGTGAAACCGAAGCTTAGGATCTAATAGTTAGATAATAAAGGTTGGATCGAAAGAAACACAACTTTCAATATCTTCGAAACAAAGCTATAATGGTTAGATACATATTACTGGATCTTAATTTCATGATTTGCAACACTAATATCTTCTAAACTACAAGAGATATCAATACATATGGCACCAATTTGGAAAGGTCACAATGTAGGCTACAATGCAGTTCTTAATACCCCATAATGGGTACATTTTCGATTTTTTCAAAAATACCAATTTTCTTGTATTACTCCGGGGTTTTGAGTTTAAAGGCTATGCACAGATACCCAGGTTTTTTAAACAATTAAGGGTTCGAAATACAACATCCACTTTTAATAGGGTTCTAAAATGGGTATCATTTGAAAGTTTATGGGAATACCTATCTGGCAAGTGGTCATAGGATACTCCGTTTCCGGTATAATGCAAGAAAATTTGTATTTTTATACCAGTACTTTTTGCAAAATCCCTAAAAACTCGAAAATGGTGCCATATGTGCTGATATCTCTTATAGTTCCAAAGATAAATTGAGATTTTCTCCACTAATATGTATCTAACCTTGTTTTAAGTAGCCGGACTTCGGCCGTTTTCGGCAATATTGGAGTTTTTAGAGATTAGATAGGTATTTTCATAAGCTTTCATTGGATATCCATTTTTTACATTTCAGTTTTGTAAAACCGAATTTGCGAGTCGAATAACCGGGTAAGCGAATATTTCCCCACCAAAGAAATAATTTGCCGTAATCAGTTTATAAAGACCTATACGTTTTATTTTTGTCCCCCTCCACCGTGCACAGTATTTTTCATCTCCATAGTAAACATCTCCGACCGTGTAAGGTACATATATTCTCGATCACAAAAAAATTAAGTTTTATCGATATCCGCCCTTCAGTTGTAATCACTCTCCTGAGGAAAATGAGCTAGAAGCTAAAATTGTGTGCACATAGCCACATTTTCAACGCAATTTTAATGTTTTATTAATTTTTGCTGTAGCTACAAACCACTGGCAAATAATTGTCTACATAGGTTTATGTTTTCCTGCGTCCTTTATATAACGGTACTCCGACATTTGATGCATTAATTGCTCTTTTCAACGGAATCGACAAATTAAACCTCATTGTAGATTCACCATTTTAGTATTCTCGTAGATGGAAAAGAGGTAAATGATACTGAGTTCCTAAAATACTTTCTGTGGAAATAGAAATGATTTATAAATTCAAAAATTAATTTAATTGGAAAAGTAAAATATTAATTTATGAAGCTCTCGTACAAATTAATTTAAATTATATTGTCTTCATATATGGATATATGGAATGTGTAGCAAACTGCCAATAACATACTACCTCACGTTAGATTTATTTGAGGAAGTATTTCCAACTACCATACCAATGGTCATAATATTTTAACATTTTCTCGAAATCGAAATAACATCGATCGATCGAGGAAAGGGTTATAAATGTATCATTAAATGAAAACTAAAAATATCAATTTGTTATATATCATGCAAGTGGTACAAACAATATTTGACTAAAATACTATTTGTGTGTTTCTGGTTGTATGTAGAAATGTATTGAGTTAAACAAGAAAGTAAAAGCATATTAAGCTAAACAAATTATTCAATACTCCTCCCAACAATTGTAAACTAAAATGGTCGTAATTATTCCTAGCATATTACCATAAACAAATCGTATGATACCGTTAAAACAAGACTGAAATTTATAAATATTGACTGATCGTTTTCCTGAGTAGACCTACAGACCAAAACTGTATATCATCAGCATAAATACCTACTTCAAAGTAGCCTTTTGTTCCTATCGTTCTGAAAACAAAACTACGGTCTCTAAAAATAAGAAACTGAAGATGAGAACACAGAAACCACCTTATTAGCACACTGGATGGGTAAGAGAAGCTAAATTGATGATAGAACATTTTATTTTATGTTCTACTTAATTAAATGCTTTACCTAAGTCTAATATTGCAATTATACCTTCTAGCGTGCATTGCTCGTATAATATTATAAATAAGTTTTAGCATAACAGTTTATTAGTGAATATGAATTTAAATGTGCACATTGTTGATTTTTATGTACATGCTCAAACGCTTTTATAAGGTAGTAAGTATAGCGATGGATTCTTCCATTCCGAGGGGAAAATCCAGTATAAGAATAGATTGAACCAATATAGAAGATGTGATATTTCATAAATAAATAAGATTCAAGATTCTTAACAATATGTTATCAATACCTACTGTATTTTAATTAATTATGGATATTGCACAAACAAGATCGTTCTCATCATGGCCCATGGTTCTCATCAATATTTCTGAACTGAAGTTCATAATAAGGTATTCTCAAACTAGACGAATAAGAAGACAACACAGCTGAAAAGTAATCGCACATTTGTATCACAGATTATAGCACAATAGTCTTTCATACGCAACCAAAAATTTTTTGAATTAGATGTCAATGAGTCTACGAACTTCAGTTTCATTATGTTTATAGTTTTTATGTTCCTCTCAGTGTTTTCAAAAAAAAAAATGATTTCTTTTACAAATTGCATTTTTTAGTTTCAACATAAGATGTTTCGGATTACAGAAATTCAGGGTGAGAGAATAACGCAGGAAAATAAAACTGACTGAATTTTAAAACTGTATAACGTCTAGTTACCAAAGCATAGTCAATTAGAGAGCCGGTATTATGGCGAAGATCTAGGGTATGAAGAAGATCCAGGGTGCGCCGCATAAGAAAGTGACGAATGTTCATACAATTCTAAGATATGAATACGGCCAGGTATATGTTCAAATCTTGCAACAATGTCGGCAATACTATGTTCAAAAGGTGATAAATTTTGTGTTTAATTACATACTATTGTCCATAATAATAAATATTTTTAATTGTAATACTAATTTGAGTAGACAACTCGCGAATTTTTTTTTTCATGTAAGGCGTCAAAAATTAACTTTCGTAGGGACCTTCCATACATTTTTAAAATTTGTCTATAGGAGTTCCTAATAACAAAAATAGCATTAGACATAGCGTTAGATTTTTTTGTGTAACCTCCTTTATTATGGTTTATTTGATGTATATATAATGGAATTAGCAATTTAAATTCACTGGGTTTACTAAATCCAATGAACTATAAACGTACTATTATAGACATTTTTTCAAAAGTTTAGCTTTCCTAATGGTGAAGGTATTAAAATTTAGCCCCTACCTAATTTAACGGGTGTTTTTATTAACAACCTGCTTAGCTTTAAATTTTTGCATTACCAATGTATTTTGGACATACAGTGAGACACAAAATGAAAACAACAAATGTATGATTGTTAATGGAATTATTTTTAATAAAGTTGTACATGATTTCAGCATATAATCCTTTTTATTTAGATTTATAACTCAATTAAGAACAGGGTTACAGTGGGTGCAGCTGCATCCTGTGCATCATTGCACTAAAGTAATTCAGTCCTCGCTAACAAGTCTAGAGATTAGAGACAAGACTTTCGATGAACGGATTTGTTTCAAGAGATGTCAATTGGTTTGGTACAGTACATTAGTACAGCTGCACCTCTTTTCAATAAGTTATTAAGTTTAAATGTTTATTATTTAAATGGTTTTACATTATTTTTATTTAAGCATATAAAATATACAATGAAATTAATAAATAGGAATGGAATAAATAATATTCTATAAATGTTTTTATGAATAAGAGATGTTAAAATATAGGTAGGTATACGTTATAAATTCTATAACACAATGAAATCTATATTTTGTTCACGTCCTTTATCTAATAGATAATTATAAGTATAATCGAAAAGTATAATTTGCTATACTTTTATGTTTATATGTTCATGTGGTTTGTTTAATAACCCTCGTCAGAAATGTTGTATAGAATTTACATTTGTTATTTTTTTTTAGATTTATAATTGTTAACTGCATTAGATATAAAACCGAAAGGTGAAAGAAGTATGCTGGTAATTATAATTAATTAATAATATTTAAAGTTTTATGTCTTACAAAAAAATATATATATTATAAATTAATTGAAATTAATTTCACGACTACATTGAAAAAAGTTTGTTTGTTGTTATGATGATTTTTATTTCTCTTATATCCGTGAAATTGTGCATCAAATCAACATACTTCCATGATCCAAATAACAAGCAACACCAAAACGCTTATTTAACAAAAAAAAAAAAAAAATAAATAAATAAATAATAATAATAATAAAAGAAGAATATCATAGATCAAATTTGTTTGTCACTCCAAATACATTTGTTATAAAATCAGAATGTATGTTCTACATTTACCAATAAATGCAAATTTTTATGAACGCTTACTTACTTCAGTTCACAATTAAGGGTTGATTCAATTCTCGTTGTAGCTTATTGAATGCCAATGGTTAGTCTAAAATATTGTGAACCTGGACGTAATATCAACAGATACATTTGAAGAATCTTTTCTACTTTTTAGTGCAAAATTAAAATATGTAAATAAATAAAAGCGGTTTCGTTAGCCGCATATATATGTAAAAAACATCAACTGCAGGGCCAATTTTTTAAATTATTGAAATAATGATGAATACATTTTAAGCTTTTGACAATTATTTTTTGTTATTTTTCGGTATTGGAATTTTTAACAGTATGTTGAATATGCATATATACCACATGGTTTTAGTCATTTTGCACATTTACCAGTAGTTTTTTGTATATTCGAATAAAAAAGTATATTTGCGTTTGTTAATGTCAATAAATGTGGTCATAAAAGTGTGTATAAAGCACTTTAGACATAAATGATGATTATAAACAAATGTCTTACATGTTTGAGATTTCTTATAAAGACCTTATATTAAGATAATACGTACTAGAAAAATGTCTATAAAATGTAGGTCTTTTTACGCAATTTAATTAGTTTGATATTAAGTTTGACATTAATTGTCAATCATATATATGTTATGGAAATAAATACAATTATTTTGTAATTGGCATATTTTTAATGCAGACCTTCTTAGTTTCACGTTGATAATTAGACTGGTGAATCGCTCACATTTACTTGGCCATTGCTGTTGCTTTGTCTTTCGTGATATTTTTCATACTTCAAAAATATATCTTCCAATGTTGTTTCATTTACTGAATATTCCTCTACAAAATCGCCGGCAATATTTTGGAATTGAGCACATCTAGAAAAAACATCAGACCATGCTATTATATCGAATGATTTAATGAAGTAAGTTAAAATTCCGGCATGGCTCTCTCGTAGTTTACAATGTGGAAATATTTCTTTTAAATGATGTGTTACAGTCTGAACTTCAATATCTGTTGCTTCATTTGTTCGCAATTTTATGCTTATAGTGAATCCGGCACCATACAACTGTTTAAGTTCGGGTACGTGCCCCAGACATTTAAACTGCCCCTCGGCCATTATGGCTAGTCGATTACACAGATGTTCGCATTCGTCCATGCTGAAATAATATCCAGATATTAAAGATGTGTGTTTCAAATTCAATATAAATATTTTAACATTTATATAAAATAAAAAAATGGTATTAACCTGTGAGATGTAAGTACGATGGTTTTGTCTCGCTTTTGAAAATCCTGTATTGTTTTCCAGAGAAAACGCCGAGATATAGGATCAACACCAGTTGTTGGTTCGTCTAATAGTACTAATGATGGACTGCCAATCTGGAGTACAACATTAAAAACAAAAAATGAAACATTTTGATTTATCCGTTCTTATTTATCTCAATTGGGTTCTGATTCTTAGTCCAGCATCAAGAAGGACGCAGCCTACACTGGTTGGGTCCGCAACGACACTGGAGTTAGTTGAGTAGTGGGTTTGGCTAGGCCGTATCTGTGCTAGTAAATAACATATACCTACCATGGCAGCAGCAGTCTGCAGCTTTCTTTTTGTTCCTCCCGAATAATGTTTTACGTCAACATTTTTGAAATCCATTAAATCCAACTTTTCTATCCAATACATGACTTCGTCATGAACGTGTTGGTATTTTATTCCTCGTAATAAAGCCATATACTTAAGGGTTTGATAAGCCGTCATAAATTCATTAAGACTTTCGTTTTGTGGGCAGTAACCAAATCGGTAACGATACTCCGACTCATTTTGCGCTATATCAACACCATCAATTTTTATAGTTCCAGAGGTAATAACTTGATTCGCTGCAATCATTTCAAAAGTTGTCGTTTTTCCGGCGCCATTAACTCCAAGAAGTCCAAAACATTCTTGCTTGCGAACAACAAAATTTAAATCATTCACGGTAACTTTTTCATTGTATTTTTTGTACACATCTTTAACCAATAAAGGATATTCTGTTTCCACATTATCTAGAAATAAATTACTATTGATTATAGGAATATTTAGGAATATTAACTTTTTATTACCCTTGATAATTTTTTCAACAGTCGACTTTTCTTCTTGTATAAATCGATCTTGTTCGTTGTCACTATTATCTCTTGATGGTTTGGTTTTAAACAGGTTTATTTTAAAAGCGCTACTAATTTTGTGTCGACGTCTGTTGTTTTCCACAACGAATAGGAATATGCACTGAAATAAAAATAATAATATAGGCTCCCGTATTCTTGACCATCATCATCCATACCATAAGAAGTGGAAATAGTAGAAACACGTAGATGTAGAAAGTACCCAATTGTAGAAAATTTTTGTTGTTTAGTTCATTGCGAATTTCTTCTGGTATGTGGTCAGCTCGATTATTTATAAAACGCTCATTAATAACACGTAATTGGTGGCATAAATTAAAGTCAGGTAAAATTCGTAGGAATGTTATATAATTTTCGTACTTGATCATATCTCCAACAGATGTTGATAGAATCAATGTGGGGATTACTAAAACGTTAGAAGTTAAACATCAATTTTTGATATACTAACACTTAAAGAAGACTTACTTGAGGCGTAATAAAGAGCTACCAAACAAGTAGACAAAGCTGACATAGTGGTTACAATATTAGTAAGACAATATAGTAACGGTAGATATGTTAGACCGTAAAAGAATATAGCTGAAACAATTCTATATAAATCACTAATATTATACAATTCATCGGGCATAATTAATGTTTGATAAGTAAAAAGACAGCAGCAAACGAGAAACAAAAGAATCAAATCGAAAATTAAATTGCTAGACCAGTACACAATAGACGATGTAGCTTGCAATCGTTTAAATCCACTTCGATTTTCCTTAAAAGGCAATATGGCAAAGTAGAATATCATCATAAATACACCTAAAATGTTTGATAATTATAATAAAAATATTGAGTCACACGAAAGAAAATAATTGATCTTACCCATTGGAACAAACGTAGCATAATACGCTAATTGTAAAGAACCAGCAGAGGAATTTTGACTGCAAATAATTGAAATCTTTCGGTATAAGAATTGCGTTATATTTAAAAATGCTTACATAGTTACAGGTGCATATGTTGTCTTCAAGATTTCATTATTATTATTAGTGTTCCACATATATATTACATTGTCCACTAAGTTTGTAAGTATTGCTGGACTATGAAACATGTTTGTAGAATACAATATGCTCACGATTGGAAAACTTTCCCCACTTATGTGTATGGTGCCAATTACGTTTTGTTGAAAATTAAAAAAATCTCCTTTCATAATTTCAATTAATTCTGTAACAAAATGTAAACAAAATTAAATTTAACAAAATTAGTAATATAAAACATCAATTAGAATTACTTTATTATTTTACATTTAACCTACCATCTTCGATATTGAATGTGGAGTTTAGTGTCAAATGTTTAACTTCTATTCCGGGATGCATTTTAATTTGTTGTCTCAAAAGATTTGTGAACTTTACCACGCCCGAAGTAGCATCACTTGGAGTGCTTACATAAATCCTGCCATTTTCATAATGATCTAATGATAATTTAAGTCCAGTACCAAAATTAAGAATCGTCGAAGAATGTATTATGATAATAGCTAATGTCGTCAATAAAAATGGTATTGTTATCTGAAAATATACATATATTATCCAAAGTGTCATGCAAATACTTCAATAGCATACTAAAAACAAAGCTAATATCCAATCGTTCTTCAAAAATAGCAATTTTTTATATGCAACTGCCGCAAATTGCTGATACCAATAAACATTTTTTAATGAATCCAAACGTTGATAAGGTACTCTAACTGTTGTTCCTCCACGACAATTAACGGCTCCATCAACCTCATCTTCATTACCTCTGGGTGCAGAACTAAAAAGTACATTTTTGGAATTCGAATTTTTAAAAATTTTTTGCTCTCTAAATAGTTTAGTCTTACTTGAGAAATACATCTTCTAAGGTAGTGTCTGTTATAGATATAGTGTTAATACCCAACTCGATGTGCTGTCTTTCTAGTTCTTTTAGCAATTTGGAATAATTACTTTTGTAGTCATATGGCAAAGTTATTGATATGGTGGGTGGAACAATGTTCTGAAAGTATATATGAAAATTTTCAGATCAAAAGAGTATGTTACAAATAATTAGGATATTTTCTGTGAAAATCTTAAAAATGCCGAATGCCTATACGACGACGTGGACCTGCATAGGCAACTTTTGTCATAAGTTATTACCATATTCAAATTCGAAACTTGAAGAAAAATATGTTTACAATGTAGCTAAAATCATCAAAATACTGTTATATGGGGGCTATACGAGGACGGGGACCAATTTTCTGGCATGGGATGAAGTATCTATTACGAACTTCACATGCGAAATTTTAAGTTATTACCATATTCAAATTCGAAACTTGAAGAAAAATATGTTTACAATGTCGCTAAAATCATCAAAATACCGAATATCGGGAGTTACCGTTATATGGGGGCTATATGATAACTTGGACCTACATGGCCCATTTACGAACTTAACATTGCCTACTAGCAAAATATACATGTGTGCAAAATTTTAGCATTCTATCTCAATTTGTTCGATAGATAGCGTGATTACAACAGACGGACAGACACACAGAAAGACAGACAGACGGATATGGCTAAATAGTCTTAGAATTTTACGCTGATCAAGAATATGTATACTTATGTTGGGTCTGACATGAGTATTTCGAGGAGTTACAAACGGAATGACAAAATTAATATACCCTCCATAGTATGGTGGAGGGTATAATAAAAATAAATTATATATGTTCGAAATATATTTATTTTATATTTGTATTGATAAAAATGGATCAAAAATATTATCTTAACATCTTATGTTTAACAAGTAAAAAAGCAGTAAGTTCGGCCGGGCCGAACTTTGAATACCCTCCACCATTTGGAACGAATTAGAAAATTTTCAAAAAAAAAAAAAAAAATCCATTAAAAATTCAGTTAAAATCTTTAAAATACCTACCTGGGTGTAAAGTACTCACAAGGAACTCCTTCATCAAAATACCGAATATCACGGGGTACCGTTATATGGGAGCTATACGTTATCGTTAACCTATATAGAGAATTCTCTGTCGGGGAGTAAAGTGCTCACAAAGAACCCCTTGTGTATAAAGAACCCCTTGTGACCATTCCGTTGAAAAATGTGACTAAAAACATCAAAATACCGAATATCGGGGGTACCGTTATATGGGGGCTATACAATATCGTGGACCGATATAGTCCATCTTGAACTTGACCTGCCTGCAGACAAAAGAGAGATCTGTGCAAAATTTTAGCTTCCTACCTTAATTTGTTTAGACTGTAGCGTGATTACAACATACGGACGGACGGACAGGGCTAAATCGTCTTGGAATTTTACGCTGATCAAGAATATATATACTTTGTTGGGTCTGAAATGATTATTTCGATGAGTTACAAACGGAATGACGAACCCCTCCATACTATGTATGGTGGAGGGTATGAAAATAGATCATAAATCTTATCGTAGTTATAATTGTAAAATATTAAGAACTATTACAAGTTTTAAATACCAAATTTGAATAAACTCTTTTAAAAATGTGGCTAAAATCTCAAAAATATTCGGAAGTACCACTATTTTTTTTATCGAACGTTCCCACGCCTCACATTCTCACCCCTGCCGACCGAGGGGGCGACCTCCCTTTACGTAAGAATCGCGTACACATCATGATCCGCACCAAAATTTAGTAGGAAATTGAAAACCAGCTATAGAATCTAATTCATCAGCTTCTTTGTTAAATAATAAAACATGTATTTTAATTGTTTAAAAATAAAATTATTCTAGATTCAATAACTTCTCCAAATCTACATTACAGTACACAGAATTAAAGTCAACACACATTTTACTAAGAGGTTCGCACATTGAATAATTCGTGTGGTGAAAATCAGTATATAATAATTGGTAGTATCTACTAGATCTAAACGGAACATTAATTCGAATAGATGAGATTAGGAAATCTGAAGGTATATTACCATTCAATATTTTCAGTACGAACATGCTTTCAAGTGTAGGCAATCTAATTAATTTTAGCCTGCCAGCATAAGAAGGCAAAAGAAAATCACTATTCTGTACACCTCGTAAGGCAAATAGCAGAAATTGTTTTTGCACGGATTCTATTTTATCCGAGTATATTGCATATTGAGGATCCCATACAACAGAACCGTATTCTAATATAGGTCTAACAATATATATAATAATAATATAGGTCTAACAAGAGACGTAAATAACTGTTTTGTTATATATGGATCAGAAAATTCTTTGTCCCGCCGTTTAACAAAATCTAAAACACCATTTGCTTAATTTACCATTGTTATTACGTGGCTATTAAATTTTAATTTTGGATCCATCAAGGGGCCTAGATCGACAAATGAATCTACAGTTGATAATGAATGACCCTCAATATTATATTGCAATATCAGAGAAGAAGATCTGGAGAAGCACACATGCTTACATTTGCTTAAATTTAAATCCATACAATTTGTTGTTGTTGTAGCAGTTTTAACATGTTCCGTTGTTTGTTTCCTGACTAATCCGGTTCTTCCTCAATGTCCAGGTTTAGGAATTCTGCTACCTTTATGGGCTATAGCCATAGATCCTTTGGACGGAGTTGGGTAGGTTTGGCTGGACAATTAAACAGGTGCAGCGTATTGTGCGGGCCTGTATCGCACGCTGGGCAGACGTTCCGCACATCTTCGTCAATTCGTGCCCAATATGAATTGAGACGGCTGCACCATCCTGAACGTAGTTGGGCCAACACTACCCTGGTTTGCCTAAGCAGCCGACGTTCTTCAGCTGCAATGGATGGGGGGTGGACTCCGAGTATGGTATTCATACTGTAATTATTAACTACCTCTGCGACTGCATCAGTATGAATGCTATTCAGACCGATCTGCTAATGGAGACGATTATTGGGAGATGGTCTGAGCCAAGAGAAATGACGGGTTGCCAAGTCACGTCATTTATCAGACCGGGTGACACAATGGTTAAATCTGGCGAACTGTGACACTCTCCTCATATACGGGTGGGGCATCCTCGTTTACCCTGCAAAATGTGGAGCAGTCAATCTGCTCTGCCAACGCTGATCCCCTCTGGTCATTACCTAGGACGGAATGCCACAACTCATGGTGTGCATTGAAGTCCCCTAGTACCAGACGGTCATTGCCTTCCAAAAGTGGGCTTATATTAGGCAAGCAACGCGGTTCACAGCTATTAACCGGCGGCATATACACATTAAGCACCTCTACCTCGCCAGTTCCACACTTGACTGCTACCCCAATTTACTCCATGTATGGGTTACTAGAGACTAGCTCAAGCGAGATAGGTCTGTATTGAACAGAATGGTGTAACAGGAACGCTAACCCCCACCTCCACTTCTGGTGCGATCTTTCCCCAATACGTTGTAACCATTGCAACGTTGTAAGCTACAATTTTTATTGAGATTGGTTTCCTGCACCGCTGCGATCTTAATATTCCTCCGATTCATAAAATCCACTATCTCATTTAACATTTTACCTCGGAGTCCGTTGCAATTGAACTGCAAAAAGGATGCACTGTCCGGAGTTGGAACAGCAACATGTGGCGTTAGGTGCTGCGGTAAATGTTGGTTCTAGAGACTGCGGTGGAGTTCCAAACTCCGACGACGACGAGGTCGTGGACTCACTGGGGACTGCGTTGGTACAGCACGATGCAACACAGTCCCTATCGCTATAGTCTCGCAACCGGGTTAAACCGGAACAATTCCTAAAATGCACCCATCCTCTGCATCCATTACATCTCACCGAGACTGACCTATGGTGGATGGTGTTTTGGCAAACCGTACAGAACCATGATCCGGGATTTTCCTCAAGCCTGGCACGGACCAAAAGAATCCGGAGCAAGCATTCCGGGATGTGCTGCTCCCAATACAGAAAAATAAACAAACACGAACATGTATACACTGGGTTGGCAGCCGCTGGCCGAAACTGGAGTGTTGTTGTTTCGGGTCAATCCGGTGTCGTAGAACCAGCTGCCGTGGGATTGTCCATATAATTTAACCTGCACCATTGAAAAAGGCTATCTAAATTGTTTTAAAGTAAACTATCTTGTTTATCACAATTATGGGAAATGAATAATTTAACATCATATGCGTACATTAACAATTTCGTGTAATTTATGGAATTAGGTAAATCGTTGATAAATAAAAAAAAGAGAGCCGGTCCAAGGTGACTTCCTTGCGGAACACCCGATGGAACGTTAATCGTTTTGGATAGATACCCTTCAAACAAAACTTGTTGTGATCTATCTCGTAAGTAAGTAAGTAATGATATCCATTTGACTAAGTTCGTGTTGAAACCCATACAATTTAATTTATATATGGGAGTATATGGTTAATCGTATCAAAAGCTGTACTGAAATCAGTATAATTTGTATCAATTTGTTTACACTGACCAAATCCTTTTATTACTGTTAATGTAAATTGTATAAAATTTGTTGCAGTTGAAAAACCACTACGAAAACCATGCTGATATGGACTCAATATAGATTGAATTTTCAGTGAAATTACTGCAGTAATTAATTATTCGAACAATTTTGGAATGACACTTAATTTTGCAATTCCTCTATAATTTGACACATTAGTAAGACTACCAGACTTATGTAAAGGTATAATATAAGTTTTTTTCCAGAAAGTAGGAAAGTGACCACATTTAACTGAATAATTAAACAATATAGTTAAAGGAAGTGTCGAGGTCCAAGCCAAACCCCTCTACACAACCGCAATCAGACCCCCCCCCCCCCCCTTCGATCCACGCCAATGGAGACCGATGTTATCGATGAGGATGAATTGATAGACCTTGACCTCTAAACAGAAGGTAATCGAAGTTGTGTCGTAAGTAAGAAAAGTTTAGTTGCTAAATAAAGGATCGTCTTGATCAATAACCACTAATTCCAAACAAATAAACTTGTCGACGGACAATATTTCTTTTATTTTAAATAAAGTGTCTTTTTAAGAATTATATTGCTTATGTTTCTGAACAATATTTAAGAATTATATT